AAATGGTGTGACCCCAGGAACATCACAACTCTGTCGCACTCTTGCTCGCCCCATCTGGAACATTTGTCCATCTCTTGCCGTCCGTACTATCTACCCCGGGAGTTCTCATCGATCATCGCCACTGCCGTTTACATCCCTCCTCAGGCCGACACCAGTGAGGCTTTGTCAAAACTCCATGAAGAGCTTAGCGGCTACATAAACAAACATCCTGACGCTGCTTTTATCATCGCGGGGGACTTTAACAAAGCCAATCTCAGGAAAGTCATGCCGAACTTTTACCAACATGTCTCTTTTCCTACTAGGGGGAACAACACGCTGGATCATTGTTATTCTCAGTTTAAAAATGCTTACAAAGCCCGATCACAACCCGCTTTTGGCAAATCGGACCATGCCGCCATTTTCCTCACACCGGAATATAAACAAAGGCTCGTCCAAGAACCTCCGGTGCAGAAAGTAGTGACGCGCTGGTCCTCCAACTCAGAAACTTGGCTACAGGCGGCTCTTGATGACGTAGACTGGGACATGTTCCGGGCGAGCTCATCTCACGTCAGCGAGTTCACGGACGTAGCATTGAGTTTTATAAACACACTAACAGAACAAGCAACGGAAACTGTAACTATTAAGATATTTTCGAATCAGAAACCATGGGTGGATAAAACTATTCGTGCTGCAGTGAACAAATGCACTGCAACATACAACGCCGGTCTGCTGTCGGGGAACATGAGCGAGTACAAATCATCGTGCTACGCTCTTCGCCACGCAGTGAAAGACGCCAAACTCCGTTACAGGGATCGAGTGGAGTCTCATTTTCAACTAAATGACTCCGGACGCATGTGGCAGGGACTGAGGACCATCTGCACCTTCGGAACTAACTCCTCTACAAAGGTGAGAGCAGATCCGTCGCTGGCTGACGAGTTAAACTCTTTCTTTGCTCGCTTTGATTGCAAACGCACCAGCGTAACTCTGCCTCTCGACGCGCGAGAAAGTAGCGGTCAGAGTGTCGACGGCCCTGTAATCACTGTGTCGGAGGACGAGGTTAGGAGGGCGCTAAAGCAAGTGAACGTCAGGAAAGCAGCTGGGCCTGATGGCATCTCTGGTCGCGTCCTGAGGTGCTGTGCTGACCAGCTTGCTGGATTGTTTACGTCAATATTCAATGAGTCCCTGGCTACCTCCGTGGTCCCCTCATCTTTCAAAGAATCTGTCATTATTCCTGTGCCTAAGAACAATAAACCCTCCTGCCTGAATGACTATCGTCCAGTTGCCCTCACATCCATAGTCATGAAGGTATTTGAGAGACTGGTTAAAAACTACATTTGCTCCTCCATACCTGAAACACTGGACCCTCTTCAGTTTGCTTATCGACCAAACAGATCTTGTGAGGATGCCATCTCTCACGTTCTACACTCCTCCCTTGCCCACATCGACAGTAAAAATGGGAACTATGTAAGGCTGCTTTTCATTGACTACAGCTCAGCCTTTAACACTATAATTCCCAGCAAATTAACTTCCAAACTTCTAAATCTTGGTCTGAATTCTTCTCTCTGCAATTGGATTCAGGACTTTCTTTTACACAGACCCCAGGTAGTGAAAGTAGGCCGGTTCACCTCCAACTCCATCACTCTGAGCGTGGGAGCGCCACAGGGCTGTGTCCTGAGTCCGCTACTTTACTCTCTCTACACACATGATTGCGTGGCTTCTCACAACTCCACTTCTATTGTCAAATTCGCTGACGATACAGTGGTCCTGGGCCTTATCTCCAACAACAATGAGATCGCATACATGGAAGAGGTTGAGAAACTAACATCTTGGTGCCAGGACAACTGTCTCTCTCTGAATGTGACCAAAACCAAAGAGATGATTGTGGACTTCAGAAAGAGACAGCAGGCCTTCACTCCTCTTACGATCAGTGGGACCCCTGTGGAGAAGGTGAGCAGCTACAAATACCTCAGTGTGAACATCTCTGAGGATCTGACCTGGACCTCTCACATACACACACAGGTGAATAAAGCCAGGCAAAGACTATACCATCTACGACAGCTAAGGAAATTTAGAGTCTCACCAACGATCCTAAAAAACTTTCTATTCAGGGGCCATAGAAAGTGTTTTAACTCAGTGTATCACAGTGTCGTATGGGAATAGCTCTAGTCATGATTGCAAAGCCCTTCAGAGAGTCGTGCGCTTAGCTGAGCGCATCTCTGGGTCTTCTCTCCCACCCTTACAAGACATTTACCTCAAACGCTGCAAGAGCAGAGCCAACAAAATCATTAAAGACTACAACCATCCACATAACTGTCTCTTCAACTTGCTGCCATCTGGTAAGCGCTACCGCAGCTTGAGGACTAAAACAGAGAGACTTAGGAGAAGCTTCTTCCCTCAGGCCATCAGGCTCCTAAACTAGGTCTCTTAACATCATCTGTACTCAACAATGACTCAACACTGATTGCTTTATTATAATGCAGCTACTTTTCTTGCATCATTGTGCACTTTACACTGCTGCTATGTAAGTACTTCGTTACCAATGTCTGCACATTTATGTATGTAAATATTACCAGTTTAGCCTATATTACAGATTTATATTACTAGGAATTTTATCTTATTTATCTAAATTGTTAATTTATGTCTAGTATTTTATAATATTGCACTATTTTGGAGTGGACCCTATTTTACATTTCACTACAGGTTGTATTCTGTATAACTGTGTATGTGACAAATAAATCTTGAAACTTGAAACTTGAAACATAGACTTAATGTTTTCCTTTATTTCTACCACAATAAAACTTTACAAAGTAAAAGTATACATGAAAAGAAACTTTTTTTGTATTACAAGTTTCTTTTGAAATGAATTTGAATATGCACATGAGCTCCACATGTCCTAATTTGCATAGGCAGAAAAACCCAATCATCCTACTGCCAATGGGTGATGGCAATGCTGCTTTTAGACTGGCCTCTAACCTTGGTACCTATACCCCCCCCCCCCCCCCCCCCCCCCCGGTATAGTCTTCACAGGGTCACAGAGGCACAAAAGCCTCAGGGGAGGGTTGTGTGGTCATTATTGCCATAAATCTCCCATCCAAAACATGCCACCCCCAGTCTTTTGGGTCCATGCGTTCACTTCGCCCTTTCCACTCCATCATTTGGTAAAAGACCCGAAGACTATGGAAGTTTGCAGCTGTTGATGTTGGAGGGAGAGTTTGAGGTTCCACTGGAGATGAGTTACTTTATCACAGAATCGCCTGTATATGCATAGGTTAACTTACTGAACGGACATGAATGTGCTAGTTATTTGGCCCCTGTTTTTTCTACTTGTGACTTTATCCATTTTAAGTCAATTAGGCCTAGTGTTGAGCTCATTTGCATATTTAAAATAGATTTTTCCAAGAAACTAACTACATACATTTTTGTTTTACAAGATACTAACTTGTAAAACAAAAATGTTACTTTTCCTGTATACTTTCACTGTGTGAGGTTTGATTGTGATAGGAGTAAAGGAAAAAATAAGCCCATTAGGGTGTATTTGGGGCATATTCGATTAGTATATTGCTCATTTGCATATTCAAATTCATTTTCAAAGAAACTTCTAATACAAAATGTTTTACTTTTCTTGTAGACTTTCATTGTGTAAAGTTTTATTGTGGTAGGAGTAAAGGGAAAAATTAAGCCTATTTGGGTGTATTTTGAGCATATTCGATTAGTGTGTAGCTCATTTGCAAAATACAATTCATTTTCAAAGAAACTTGTAATACAAAAAAAGTTACTTTTCATGTATACTTTTACTTTGTAAAGTTTTATTGTGGTAGAAATAAAGGGAAACAAATTAAGCCTATTTGGGTGTATTTTGAGCATATTCGATTAGTGTATAGCTCATTTGCATAATACAATTCATTTTCAAAGAAACTTGTGATACAAAATGTGTTACTTTTCATGGATACTTTCATTGTATAAAGTTTTATTTTGATAGGAGTTAAGGAAAACCATAGCCCCATTGAGGTGTATTGTTGTCTGGCCTTACTGGCACACATCTCGGATTGATGAGAATTAAACATATTTCCTCAACTAGGATTTCTTAGGACTTTTAGTATGTTGTTCTGGACACCTTATAGAAATGATCTATGCTGAAAAAAATTCTTTTACAATTAGTTCAATTTTTGGCTCCAAAATGAGTTACTTTGCCTGGACTATTTCAGAATATTTTTTTCCCAGCTGATGAGCGATAAAAACATTGACAGCCAATCAGAATCCATCCTGCTTTATCGAGCTCAAGCATTTAAAGAGACAGAAGAAAAAACTGCAGAACTGTTTATAGTTATAGATGGTTTTCTTTATTTCTATCCACCAGATGGTACTAATCTCTGGAAGCTTGTTTCCGAGACAGAAAAACTAATTCTGACTTTTTATTTTTCAGAAAAGCAAATTTATATCCTGGACTTTATAATTCATAATTCGTAATTCGGACTTACAATTGTGATTTTGTGTCACAATTCAGATTTTTCTCTCTCGCAAATGCGAGTTTTTTCTCAGAACTGTGAAATATAAATTCTTAGTTATGAACTCAGTTGCGAGATAAAAAGTCGCAATTATTTTTTTATTCTGTGCCGGAAATAAGCTATGATACTAATCTGCCTCCATTCAACAGATTTTAAATAATTTTGCTCCATTTCAACCTTAAATACTGCATTAATTAAAAAATAGCATCAAATGTGTTTTTTCTTATATTTTATAAATTTTAAATAGAAAGAAATGTTCCATAATTTAGAATTTTTTATTGTTTGGTATCCTAAAATCCCCTTAAAATACAAAATGTTAAAGAAAAAATAAATTTTAATGAAAATAAAATGATGTTCTCTGGTCTGTTCTGACCGCGAACAATACAATACTCGGCCTAACCCTAATGAGCACCACCAGAGGGATAACGGTGCTCGTTTCTCACAGCACTTACACACGCTGAAATCGGACCCCCCCCCCCCCCCCACACACACACACACACTTCTCCACATTAATACCTTGTCAACAAAGTTGGCCTCCACCACGTTCTGCTTCTCGTTGTCATCGGGGCCCTCGATGGTGACGAAGAAGATGTTGATGCCGGACTCTCGAGCGAGCCGCGACGCCTCCTCCACCCGGTCCGTGGGCCAGCCGTCCACCAGCACCACCGCCACGTTGGGCGCCCCGCCTCGGTTCCCATTAGCATCGCTGAAGAAGTGCTTGTTGATGTAGGAGAGGGCCTTCCCTTAAAGAGCACAGAGCCAGAGTCAGCACAACACATCTACAGTTCTGCGTCTCAATCGAGCTCTGTTCCGCCTCCAGCCTCGGCCCTCAGGGCTCCCCGTAAACGCTACCAGGACTCCGGAGAGGCGGGGTGTTGCACGCCACGGGAACACTATCAATGCAGCAGTTAGGAAAACATTATTCCACTAAGTTTAATTGAATATTCAGACTTTGAGCTCATGGATTTAATAAGAAACATTTTTAGAAGTGCTGCCCTCAGTGGACCCTGAAAGCACCGAGCTAGCACAGCTAAACATGTTGCTGCATTAAAGTCCCCATCAAATCAAAATGGACAATTCTTGTTTTTTATTGAATATTGCAGTGTTTATTCTAAATGATTTATCTGCGTATTAAATTCATGTCCCTGGTAATCATGAATCAGAATCAGTTCCTCTTGCAGCATCTCTTCTCTTCTCTGATGATGTGGGCGGGGCTATAACCTGTCACTCACATGAGATCCGCCAATAGCAAACCACAACCGTCCAATCAATTCCTCACGGACACAATCAAGCCCCGCCCACATGTGATCTTGTTCCAGAAGCGTTTCACTCGATATACGACACAATAGAGGAGAAAAGACCAGCGAATCTAAAAATTCATTTAAAATTCACACAATGGGTCTCATTCATGAAACACGAGCAGAACGAATTGATGTGTAAATCGTGTGTAAAGTGGTTCTGGCGTAAATTTTCGGATTCATTAAAATGTTCGTATTTTCCAAATGTGAGTTGGTACACAAGAAAACTACACCTGCTCCCAGCCACGCGTAAATAGTGCGCTTAACACCCGAACGTTTTGCTCATTAATAACTAAGGCTGCATTTTAATTCACCTTAATCGGGTACATATTTGCACAGCATTTTGAAAAAATATTATATATAGTAATTACATACTTTTTTTCTTATTATGAGAGCCAGTAATAGCATCTGCGATGGTGGTCCTTCTCCAGTTCGAATACTATTTTTCCGAAGTGAACTAATTCGTTTTTTGCTCTCAAGCTTAATGTCGAACCATTTTCTTCTCACTTCTGGGAATGTTCGATTAACAGATGAAACTCCAGTAACTGCATCTGTAATATACTGCAAGCTTCCTTTTCTTTAGGACCCGATACGCCACTATGTACGCTTGAAAATAAAATGTGGCGTTTTGAATGAACTTCTGATAATAAAACTTCAATTTCTGCATCTGAGAATTTTTTTTTTCATTCGCATTTATGTCATAATATGATGCCCATATATAGTTGTCAGTCGGATTTAATGGGCGGGATTTATGGTAATTGAGAATAAACGTGCACGCCATTTACGACTGATTGGAATTCATTAACACACACACACACACATTTCACTATCACATCTGACGTTTACGAAGTATTTGTGAATCAGGAGAAGAGTTTTCGGGAAGGTCTCTTTACACGCAAATCAGTCGCATATTTACTCGTATATTTACGAATGTTTCATGAATGAGACCCATTGTGTGTGTGCTTTAAAGGGATACTCCACCCAAAAATGAGTTGTTGCAAACCTGTATGAGTTTCTTTCTTCTGCCGAACACAAAGGAAGATATTTTGAAGAACGATTGGAACTTTGGCCCATTGACTTCCATAGTAGAAAAAAAATATACTATGGAAATCAATGGTGCCAAAGTTCCAATCGTTCTTCAAAATATCTTCCTTTGTGTTCGGCAGAAGAAAGAAACTCATACAGGTTTGCAACAACTCATTTTTGGGTGGAGTATCCCTTTAAGTGTCCCGAGAGTTTTCATGCTCACTGCAGTCCTCAGGGGTTTCAGAGTCCAAACAAGCGTGTTTGTGTGAATCATAAGAGAAGATGGAGGGCTACGGCTCTAATTAAACCTCATCCACCCAGATTCATCAAAGCAGATGATGCTGTGTCCTCGGGCTCTCTTTGACTTTACAGGCAGCTGCTGTTTTATTAAAGTGAGACACTATCTATAACACAAACCATACAACCAAATCTCTAGGTTGGATAAACCTCAGGCATTTGGTCGGCTTGCACAGAACCAGCAGAGTGGCACAGCCCTGTAATTTCACAGTTCCCAGCCCAGATTTAGATCTCATTGTGAACCCGTGATAACTCGGAGAGCTCAGGCGGCTCAGCGTTACGCACTCACCTACATGTGACAGGCCGCCCTTCTGGGTGATTTTACTGATGGCCGGCTTCACGTCGCTGGAGCTGGAGAACTGTTTCAGGCTGAATTCTGTGACCGCATCATCCCTGGGTCAGAAATGAAATGCTTATGATTCGTCATGCCAGTTATATTTTGGTGCAATTGTGTATGACAGCATGTAAGTTCATTTAGAGATGTACAAATCTGCAAATCTCCTGATTACTGGTCAGAACTGAAACTCCACGACCCGCCGACTTCAATAAAGGACACATTATACTCAAATAAATCAAGCTAGTTTGGGATCAGTAAGGTTTAAAAAAAGAGAGATTAATATTACAGTGTTCAAAAGTTACAGTCAAGACATTTATAACGTTGCAAAAAATTCTACATCAAATAAATGCGGTTTGTTTGATTTTTCTATTCATCAAAGAATCCTGAAAAATAAAATGTTTGACGGTTTCCACCGAAATATGAAAAGTGTAATCAATTGATTATTCACATAGAAAACAGATGATTTACACTGGAGTAATATTACACTGTTTTTACTGTAGGTTTGTATTCTGTATTTTATCAAGTAAAAAAATCCTTGGTGATTATACTGTACGAGAAAAAACAAAAAAAGTCTTACCGAATCTAACAGTAAATGTATATTAAACTCCTTCAACTCAATATTCTACAATCAACTTTAGGATTCATACACATCTCTGAAGTTCTTGTAATGTAAATATGTTTTCATTTTAGTCAGTGAAAGTAAAATGATATTGTTTCTTTCAGTGGATCTTTCATCTAAACAAGTGTGTAATCTGTAAATATTACAGTCTATTCTGACTTAACCTAAAGACGGTCTTAAGACGGTCATATTTGTATTCTTTAATCGTATTATTTGTTGTGTGTGTGTTGTGTGTGTGCACTGGTGTAGCGGTCGGTCAGCAGCTGCAGTGTCCTCGACAGCCACCAGAGGGCGCTCCACATCACACTACTGTCATCTCCCATAACTCACTGCCCGGACTCTTCATCCATTCCCACAGTCACCTGTGTCTCATTATCTTTTTAACTCACACTATAATAGCCGGGTTTTCACATTCATTCCCTGCGAAGTCTTGTTTAGTGTAACACTGCAATGCCGAGCGTTCTCCCTGGTTTCATGTCTCTTGGTTTCGGATTGCTTGCCTGTGGATTACTCTTTCTCCCGTGTGGCCTTGTTGTGTTTGCATGGACCGCCTGCCTGTGTTTGACCTTGCCTGTGCTTTGGATTACGTCTTTGGATTGCCCTGTTCAGTAAATACTGCACTTGGATCCTCAACCTGCTTGTGTTGGAGCAGTTCGTGACAACTGGAAGCTTCATTACCAAGAAAAATGCCTTGTGTGTGCGAACAGAATTGGCAGTAAACCTCTTTCTGATTCTGAGGGGAAATTAATGTATGCTAAAACCACATTTTATTGGTAATTTTGTGAATAGTAACGGGCTCATGTTAGCTGTAGGTTAAGTGCCAGTCCCTCACTCTTCTCATTAACAATCCTCCAGCATCTGTTTTCTGGCACAGGGACACATTATTACCCGTATTGGATGATGCCCATCATGGCTCCTTCCGCGCCCACATTGAGAGCCTGGGAAACCTCCACGAGGAAGTCTTTCTGAATCTTGAATCGTCGTTTCCCAATACTCCAGCTGCCATCCATGAGGAACGCAATATCCACTTTACAATCTACAGACACGGATGGGAATCGAGTGAGAGCCATGAAGGGAAGCGAGTATAGCTCTATTCTCACCAGTGTCAGGTCTGAGGACAGTACTTGGGTCTCCGCGTGTCCGGCCGCTGAGTTCAGGAGCTCTGGCTAAAGATGAGTCGTGTCCTCGAGCGTTGAATCCTGGGAAATCAGAGGATGCTGCTATTACACATCAACCCTGTACCTTATCCACAGTACTGCTCTGTCGCGCTTGAAAATAACACTGCACCTACACTAAACCCTAACCGATAGTGTGTACCCAAACAGACACGAGATAAACACACATTTGCTGAAGCTAGCGTGGCATCTGAAGCTGTTGGCCGTGACTCGCACCCGAGCGGCGCTGCACTGCTGGACCAGGCGAGCTACAGCCAGTTTACTTCGTTAAAGGGATAGTTCACTTTGAAATTAATTGTTGACATGTTTTATCTTACCTCAAGGGCATCCAAGATGTAGGTGTCTTTGTTTCCGCAGTATTTTCAATTTTGATATTTTTAGGTCAAACCGTTCTTGTCTGTCAGTCATATAATGCAGGTCTATGGTCACCACCTCAAAGAGCAGCACAGAGAAGTCCAAATTAAACATGATTTAATGACTCGTAAATGTAAGTACACATTGATGGCCTAAGACACGAAACGAGCGGTTTGTGTGAGAAAACGAACAGTATTTATATCGTTTTTACCTCTTGTAACCACAGCAGCGTCCAAGTGATCAGAGGGCGCCGGCGCTTCGTCTTTTCCGGAAAGCGCCGGAAGTGAAACCTCGCGCATGTACGTCACTCATTGTTTACACAGAGATTGTAGGTAAGACGGCTAATTAAAAGGGTACTAATTTGCGCTTATTCAGGATGTTTAAACCATCGTAAAAGAAAACAATTCCAAAAAAAAAAAAAAAAAAAATTGTATGAGTGACGTACACGCGCGAGAGATCACTTCTGGTGCTTTCAGGAAAAGACCAAAGCGCCGGCGCCCTCAGATCACTTGGACGCTGCTGTGGTTACAAGAGGTAAAAACGATATAAATACTGTTCGTTTTCTCACACAAACCGCTCGTTTCGTGTCTTAGGCCATCAATGTGTACTTACATTTACGAGTCATTAAATCATGTTTAATGTGGACTTCTCTGTGCTGCTCTTTGAGGTGGAGACCATAGACCTGCATTATATCACTGACAGACAAGAACGGTTTGACCTAAAAATATCAAAATTGAAACTACTGCGGAAACAAAGACACCTACATCTTGGATGCCCTTGAGGTAAGATAAAACATGTCAAAAATTAATTTCAAAGTGAACTATCCCTTTAAATAAGCCACACTAGCTATTTATGTGATGCAAACATCAAAATGTATTAGTTTACAAATCATGCACTATGATAAAAGTGTTTCAGCTCATAACATAGTATTGTGTAAGGAACCGCGTGAAAATAAGTTTATATTAATCAATAATATTTCCCTGTAATCATAATTTTTGTGAAAAGGAATACAATTGGTTGGTGTTTTGCTGTATTTAGTGTTCATTTCAGGTGTAAACTGGAGTGAATTGTAAGTATAGATGCATTTTTCCAGTGAGCTTGTGTTGCATTAAAGGCTTTTCTAAACTCTTCAGTCAGTGGTTAGTTTCCTCACCTGAGTCGAATGGGTTTGACTCCGCTGGCGTCTCTGTGACAGGAACACACACTAATTAATGATTAATCACACAATCTTTAAAAAAGTGTAAACGATCTGCAAAGTTTCATAGATCAAAGGTGCAGATAAATGGAGGTTTTGTCTTCCAAAAGAAAGAAGTGATTCTGAACTGAAACGAGTCGTCAGTAATTCCGTCTCACTTCCTGCTAAATCTATATAGGTTTGTAACTCATTTGCATAATGCCAGCCTCTGGTATTGATTGGCTGATCGCGTCTCTTAGCCCCGCCCTCAAACACTGGTGTATCTGAGACTGGAGGAGTTCGGCTCCTGTTGTTCGTGTCGAGAAGACGCTGTTTTCTGAGATTGATACGGTAAAACCACTGATCTATATAGAATGACTGGATAGCTCATGATGTCATAAACAGTGAAGCCACCGCGCCGCCATATTGTGATTCCCTAGTGAGCTCACGCGTTCTATTGAATCAATAGGAAATTGTATGATTTGACTGAGAAAACATTGCATAACGAGACACCGTCTTTAAATCTAAAGTCTCCCTGAACGGTCTTACAACGCAAACATCCTAAGCATTTAAATGAGTATTTGTTTAAAGTCGGAAATTATTCCTGCTTACTAAAAATTAACTATATGTGAATTGTGAACTCAAAATTTAGCTCTTTCTGATTGTGTTTTACAGATAGATCAGTAGTCTGTTCAAGTATTTGATTAGTTAGCAAGAACATGTCCAGGAAATGCATAATACAAATTGTATGGGTTAATGTACACCTGTTTCACCTCTTATTTACCCCTTATTTACACTGCACACGTCTGCGGCGCGTTTACAGCTGCGACACGGCTACCGGAGCTGATCGCGCCCACAAATCGGCAAATCACGTGGAAATGCTCCCGGTGTGAGTTGACACCGCGTGAAGGTAGGAATAAAACATTGTCGGAGCCATAATGCGCCGCAGATGTGTGCACTGTAAATAAGGGGTTTACACATAGGCCTACTCCGTTTGCAGTGCATATTTTTACCATACCCACGTCAACAGGTGGAGCTTTCACTGCCCGCGGATGCCCGTCCTGTGCGGTGCGTGCAGAGATCGTTTGTGCTGCAGGCGCTGAATTAAAGTGACAGCGCATGGTTCGTGGTCAAACTGAACACGGATTGACATGAAAATATTAAATATATGCATTTAATTAAATTTATAAGAAGTAATGCATTGAATAATACGTTTATTGGGTTTAAACTTGAATATGTCTGTGAGAGAATGCATAGTAGGCTATAATTTTTTACTATATATGGGCTTAAAGTACAACCTGTGAGCAGTTTTTCAAGATCCTTTTGTGATCTTCGTTTTACACTTGTTGATGTGCAGCGGGTCATCTTAAACGTGCCGTCGGAGCTACCGATCTCTGTATAACGGCCGTTGGAGCCCTCTGCTGGTAGGGAATCGTAAGATGGCCGCTCGAACACTTCCGGTGGCTTCACTGCCTGGTGGCAGTTTAGAACGGCATGAGCTATCCAGTCATTATATAGATCAGTGGGTAAAACCCACGCCATCGTTACTGTTCGTATCACTGTGATCAAGAGCTGAGATTCAGATATGATAATGAGCGTTTACTTTCTGACCAATCAGAGCAGAGCAGCTCTCAGAGAGGCGGGGCTTAGAGAGACTGAATCCTCGATGGAAGCGTTTCAGACACTGAGAGACAGAGCTGAAGTTGCAGTGGAGATTATGAGGACATTACAGTGTTTTTTTTACCTTGGATGCATGTAAACGTATCGTAGGAGATTCCAAAATAACATTAGGAACCTTTAAAATAGCATAATAGGTGCACTTTAAGCAGACACTGGACTATACTGTGCATTGTGAGAGAACTGTGGGCTTTTGTATATAAATGTGCTTGTGTTTGTGACACACCTCTGCTGTGGCCCGTCGCAGGCGGAGGCTTGTGGTGTTCTGGCTCAGGAGCTGGAAACACAAATCATGTACACATGAATCTGGCCTCCAGTTTCACAAAGACACAGTGACTCACAGTGATGGTGACCCTCCTCACTACAGTAACACCAGTAACAGATTCCAGATCAGCCACGAGCCTTAAACATACAGTAAAGCCGAGGGCCATACACTTCTTCTCATGAATTTTTCAAGTTTCACCTGTACTTTGCATTACTCCAAAATAAAAGAAGAGAATACTTACAAAACTGTCCAAAGTGATAGTGGTGCTGGTGCTCGGTGTTCCCCGGCGCCGGGTCGAGCGCTGCAGGACAGAGGCAGCGTGTGCACGAGCGGTTAGTTCAGCGCAGTGCATTATGGGAAACATACCCATAATACCTGTGTCAATGTGTTAGCATAACAAGCCGTAAAGAAAAGCGTAGCTTACCACCTGTTCTCTGACATGGAGGATGAAGCTAAAGTCATATCGCAGAAACACATGCTCTGAATGATTTGATATCATATGGGCCGCACATTGGGATGGATTTATTAAACGTTCTTGAAAGCTTATGCCGTGGTCTATTTAAACCACATGAAGGAAGTGAATGATAATGTAGGAACCGGCATACACTGATATGATGCTATGGTGCATGAACAGGCATGTGCTAGCCACACTATGAAGCCATAATGCAGATTTATGTGTTTCTTTGTTATTCTCCTCGGGTACTGGAGTGGATTTACAGTCTGACAACACGAAGGCCTTACCTGCGGGGTCAGCGGGGCTCGTCCGGCTCCAGGTGTGGCCCGTGTTCGGCACTGAGTGGCTACCATCTGAACACAGAAAGCGATGTTTGGGCCTCATGTCAGATATAGACATGATGGAGTAAGGATTAGCATGAATTATTATGAGTTTATGGATATTCACTCGGAATTTAAAAGCATGTTTAGCCTTCGTTTATGTCGTGTTTAATGTTTGCTTATGGAGGGTTACGTTATTGAACTGGATGGACCTGCATAATGATTCTGATACCTGTTGGCCTTCTGGTGCCAGAGAACCAATCAGGGCGTGCGTACGCAGGGTGCGTCCAATCACGGCGTACCAATGCTAGACGGGGAGATTTAGAAACTGCTTACAATACATACAAGACATAACATGGACTTGAACTGATTCTCTCTAAACAAGAGACAAAACAAGCTAAAGTTTATGAAGCATGGAAATATTAATTAAATTACAGGTGAAATATAAAAGGGTTTGCTCAAAAACACATTATTTATCATTTAATGGTAAAGTCCCCCTGTGCCTGTGGTGAAAATCCAGCTTTTAATGTTGTTTATGTGTGTATGTGGTGTGTTTAATACGCTTTAAGACACACCATGTGTAAGTTCATAAGTCGACAGCATTGCTGAGTATTTCCTCCTTAAAACTGCAGTGAACCAAAGACAGTCTCAAAAACACGGTTTGAAATCGCTGGTGTTTCTGACGTCACAAACGACCTTGTAACCAATCAGATCAACGTGTGATCGTCAACCAGTGGATCTCTGAGCTGAGGGAGTGAGTGGAGGTGGGGCTCATTTGCATATTCATAGAACCACGCATACTAAATGAGGCAAGGGTGTCGAGTTACATTCAAGATATTTTAAGGCATGAAGTTTTTTGCTTTTTTCAAAGAAAAAACGTTTAAATATGTAATTTTGGTGATCAAACAAACTCATAACAAACATTACAACTGTGTTGCTCAGAGACACAAGTGTCGACTCAGGTTTGACTTTGTTTCTGAAATATTGCCTTATTTGACAAGAGAGCAAAGATAGTGTTTAGTGTTTAGTGTTTTAGTGTTTAGTTAGTGCAATATTGCGTGTAAAAATCAAGTTAAATATTAATATCCTGTTTATTGATCTGTAGTATAAAATCATCAGATATTTTGTGCCAGAGATAAGTCTCAAGAATCAGTGAAACTGAAAGATCCTTGTTCATGCCTTAGGAACAAATGACAGGGCTAGTACATTAGCATCTAGTTTATTACTGGTCTTTAACTTAGTTGACATCAATGGCACTGGTGAATATCCATGAAAGCTCAATATTTGTTTACTGGCATCATGTAAAATTAGTTTATTGGAGAGCCTTACTAATGTATAATGTGCTTTACCTGATCCCTCTAGATGCAAGAAAGAGCACTGGACTTCTTTAATTGCATGTTTGATGTGTATCAGCACGCTCATGCTAATAGATGGCATCTGCAGACACTTACTGGGATTCGACTGCGGCGTGTGTTGCTTTCTCTCAGACTGCGGCTGCACCCGACTCAAAGCTGCTTATCAACGTGAAACAGATGGAACAATATCCAAGAGAGAAGAAAGCAAGAGTTCATGCACCGCAGCTGCTACTGAGTGATGTCTGAATCGAGTGAATGCGTCATGCAAACCTGAAGCTGAGGGAACATGCGGCTGTCTCCGGATGGTGGAGCTCAGCTCTGGCCGCTGCACACCTGCCGTCACAACACACACATGTTCAACACAAGCTGCACCTCGCTGAAACAATACACTACTGTCAAAGCCAACTAAACCAAGAAAAGGCATGCATACTGGTTAATTACTAACCAGCCTGAATAATGGCTGGAGTTAAAATGTATCGGCTAGTTTACTATGCTGGTTCATGCCCTGGTCTGATCACAGTGGTGGTGTTAGTTTAGTGTCACCAAACTCCGTCCATACAGTCAAACCAAGAATTATTCAGACACCAGATATCATTTTGTTATATTTTTTCACTAGTGTGATCAGGACACTATAGTTCATTTCTGTAAGTGAGGAGCGCAAAATAAAGTAAACTGTGACATATTACACCCAAATATTCTTCATACAGTGACTACCAGTAACAATGATTCCTCCACTTTGAGCTGATCATGTTCTGCTGAAGTGTGTTTTCTGTAACTGCTAATGCTCTTTTTACACACAGACTGAACAACATGAAGCATTGCTTGGTCACTGGTTGAGCTAAACTGGTATTATCTAATTGTGGAGTTAAATTTAACAGCTGACAGATATTCAACATAATTCATGTGTGAGAGTCTAACAGAAGGACGGACAAAACCAGTCAAATATCAGCTGATCTGAGAACTCTGAGTTCTGCTCATATTTATAAACTATAGCGAATAAACTGAGATAATGTGAGAAATGTTGAAGGTGTTTGAATACATTTTGGTTTGACATTTTTCATTAGCTCCAACCAACAGGAAGTCGGCCATCTTGGATTTAAATGAGAATCTTTTGAAAATTGCAAAATTTGATTTTTTAAAAACTCCTCCAAGGAGATTAATACAATTCTCACCAAACTTGGTAAAGATGATGCCGAGACATTAAAGATGCTCAATTGCGAATGGATTTTTGATATCTTAAATGATGTTGCCAAGGCAAGGGAATTAGTGCCAAAAAAGAGAAACAGGAAGAGTCTCATATACTAGTGCATTTTCTGATTTAGATTAAACTGTATGTTTGCTCATGAGGGCTGATCACATGAATGTTGCTATTGTTGTTCACAGTCATAGCGCCACCAGCTGGCAGCAGGAAGTGACACATACAACAGACTTTGAAACACAGACAGAGTAATAGGAGTGTGGTTTACCTGTGTTGGTGCGTGGTAAAAACCTATTGGCATAGACGGAGCTGCCTCTAAATGCTTTAGACAAATGTTATGGTTAGAGTTTAGAGCTTGTGTTATTGACAGAAAGTGAAGAATACACAGTGGACATAAAGTAGGACATACCTTGCGTGGGACCCTTTCCTTGGGCACTCTGTGATTGTCCTACATGCCGCATTTAGAGAGAACATAGATATTGAAGCAGTAGATATATTCTGTTTCTGTTTCAGCTGTAACAGTAACCGTAAAGTCAGCACGAAATCCTGGTCTTACTGTACAGGATTCATCAGTGCATTTTATTCTAAAGAAAAAATATCTTTAACCTTTATCAAAATGTTAGTATTAATACACTTTGCCTTTGACACAACTGGTGCTCAAACCAGTGTTGGAGTAAAGCATTACAAGTAACGTGCATTATGTAATCAGATTACTTTTTGATATAACGAGTAAAGTAACTTTTTACAAGTAATGTGTATTACGTAAACACATATTTTTATATAATGTGTAAAGTAACGCAAAAGTAACGTAACGCATTACTCTGCATAAAATGTACATTTCCTTTAAATTACTTTACATAAAAAGTTATGTAATTAGTTCATTTTTAGGGAGTAATGCAATATTGTAACATTATTTTTAAAAGTAACTTTCCCCAACACTGGCTTCAACTACAATTGTCACTGGTATAGTAATCAGAGGATAAAATTAAACTCCACCTTACAATTTCCTTCTTATTTAATATCTTTGTCACTCATCATGTTGTGGAAATGAAATGCTGTTTCATGCGTACTTTAAAGTGGATTAGATTAAAGAAAAGGGATTTCACAGGCCAACACCATCTACACCCCAAACGTCAAGACGGTTACTACAATAACAAGAATCAAAGGAAAACTGCAGGAGACCATTAGCTCTGTAAAGCACCACAAAAAACACCCCGAGATCTCTGAATAAAATTATACGACAGCAGAAAGCAGCTGCAAGAACACAAGTCCCACATGAGGGAGGCTTCGACATGCCAGCTTGACTTACGTGCAACAGAGCTGAAATACGGGTGACTGCTGCCTAGATCAGAAAGAAAGATTTTGCTTTAGAAACAGAGAGAGGAAAAAAGGACGGATTGAGAGGGAACCTGATCCATATTGTCCAGTCAGGATGTTCATTTCAATAGGGTACTGGAAAACTGCCCCAGTAACAAATGGATAAAAGATGGATGATTCTACTATAAGGGACCATGATTCATTCAAGGCATTAAATGAAAGATTTAAACAGGCATTAAACAGATTGGCTCACCTGCCTCGCGGACTTTATGAACGGTGGCCCGTGGCTTGGCTGATGTGGTTGTGGGCGGAGCTGTGGAGGTGGGCGTGGTCACAGGAGTGGTTGTGGGCGGAGCTGTGGTGGTGGGCGTGGTCACAGGAGTGGTTGTGGGCGGGGCTGTGGTGGAGCTCGGCTCCGCCTCTGGAGCTTCTGTCACTGGTGACACTGGGAAGTACGACAGCTCTTTAGATTCACCTTAAGCCTAGTTCACACTACATGATTTTAAAACGTCGGGCTGAACTGTGCGGTTCACACTACATGACTTGCTCTCTGTGAAATCAGGAGTGTTCAAGTTGTTGAGCTGTTCACACCACACGACACAACGTGATTGATCCGCAACAGGAGGTAACGCACTACACGAGTTGACAACAACTCTGTCACCCAACGATTCTATCTTGTCTACAAACCACGTTTTGTCATGAAAAATCACGCGATAAAACGAACCGGAAATGACGCGAAACAGCACGCGCGCCAATACCCAGCGAAGAAGACGAAGAAGTACACAACACGCGAACATGCCTTGCTCTGATTGGCTGTAGCTCATGACATCACGTGAGCTTGAGTCGTGCGACAGCTCTGGATATCTAGCATGCTAGATATTTTTCTGGGCGTCTGCGAGGCGTCTGCGAGGCGTCTTTGATGCGTTGCTGGCTCTTTCATACTAACAGATTGGCGAGCGTTCATCGCCCGCTAATCTCCCGCGATTTTCACGCGATAACACCCTGACCTGTTGGCGAGCTCAACGATTTGCAAATCGGGCTTAAAATCATGTAGTGTAAACTAGGCTTTAGGAAACATGAATGGATGATGAGCTGCTACTGGACACTGACATTCATCATCAAAGAGCTTCTGTGAACAAGATTCTGGCCTTGGATCCACACTCCTCTATCAGGTTCTGCCAAAGGGGAGTATGCTGGGAGTTTAGCAATCCCATGATCTTGGCATTGTTAGCGCCATGCATTATTGGTTGAGCTAAAGGCTTAAAGACATAGAAATATGACAAACTAGCATTACAAACACTTACCAGGTTTCACTATGGGTCTTGAGTGTACAAAGACCAGAGTGGATGGATATATCACTCCCTTCTTTGGTTTACCCACTGACACATAAAACCAAAGGTTATAAATCCAACATTCAAAACATAAGTTAAACAATGTGAGAAAGTAAGTTTCTTACGAAATTAGTGTGTCTTTCCATGTTTCTCATTTCATTTGATTGCTATAGCGAGCCTACAGTAGGAGTGTTTGCTCAGAGTAAAGTTCCCCCTACCTGAGACAGAAAATGATTCTCTCCAGTTGGGTAAGGACAGGGATCGGATGCCGTTGGCAAAGCTGCCCTTGTAGATCGGCTGTCCGGCACTCTTCATCACAATTACCTTTCCTCCAGAGTTACTGATGACTCCACTGAAAACAACAAACAGCAAAACACCATGCATGTGAGAGCTAGTAAATTCGGTAGCTTTAAGCAAATATCTAGACAGAACATTCAATTTAATTTACAGCTAATTATAGAATGCTATGCAAATGGATTTACTTAATTAGATATGCAATTCAATTGAGAGGTTGCAACTTAAATTTGACTGAGATCCGATGGCAAAGAGGTTTTGATCACTTCTGGAGATAATCCAAACTCAATGCATGCAGTCTGCCTTATACTGCGGTGTAGAGATCAAGGAGAGAGCGGGGAATGAGTCTAGGACATGATGCAGACCAGCAGCCCACATGTGCACTAACCCATTCACCACAGCAAGCCATAAGAAACAGTATTTGTTGAAGAGGCATTTTGTGCAACCTGATCCACCTGTGTAATTCTGCTCATTTATCAAGTTTCATAGTGTCAGAACTTGACCACTGAGGCCATAATATAAATTCATGTACTCTCCAAACCTCTCAGGAGCCCCTCTAAACAGACATCTGAGGATCAGATGCTACCAGATGCTCACAAACCAGGGAAGGCCTTAAGCGATCTCTAAAGACATCTTCTCCCTGCTTGAGCTCATATACAGGGTTCGGACAGGTAAGGAATGCTATAAAAAGCTTAATTTCCCCCACACCACTAAACCTACTAAGGACAACAAGAACTACAGCAAGTGTTGAGCTGCTATCATGTGGGGTCAAACATGAATGAGGTAATATTATGCCCTTGTATAAAGCCTTGATGTTGTTTTTGGGATCTACTAGGTTTCCACGCTCAAATGTTGATTATTTTCCCCATATTCTCCATTGTTGCGGCTCCTCTCTTCCCAGTCTGTCAGTAACGCTCTGTTTACTTCCTGTCTCTATGAAGCCCCTCCTTCTGAAAAGCACACTGTGCTCTGATTGGTCGGCTGGAGCAGTGTGTTGTGATTGGTTGAGCGCTTCGAGTGTGTTTGGGAAATGTCCCGCCCCTTCCCATAACCGCCAGTTTAACACACTACTGACTAACTCAACCAGGCCCCGCCCCTTTAATTTTGCGTATGGATTATTATAATGAGGAATATTGTGACGTGTTCGTTCCCGGAAGAAACTCAAGATACAATGGAGGCGTTTCAGGAGTTCAGAAACACTGACACTGATATAGAGGAGAACTGGAGCTTCTTCATGATCACACAGCAACATCACACACTAAAGAAAGATGAACATGGAAAACAGCACCATAGGACTCCTTCAAAGAACTTTTATCAATAAAATAGCATTGAAAACTTCTTACTCAACAAAATAGCATTGAAAACTTCTTACTCAACAAAGAACAGACTGATAGTATGTATTTTTAAATTAGCCTGTGCTTGTGTTAGTTTCTTTTTGATTAGATTAGCAACTTAGATTAGTAATTTGGTCAAGGCAGCCCAAGCTTTCGCATAGTAATGTCTTTTACCCTAAGACTGATCAAACTTTAACATCAGGTCTCATGTATAGCTCACCTGTGAATAGCAGCATTGCAGATACTGGATATTGAGGCAAACACACCCGTCCCATAGACCTTCTCCTTGCTCTCCCTGCAGTTACCTGGACACTTCACAATAAACTCTGGGAGATTGATCTTCCCAGACCGCATTTCACATTCAATTGCTGGAACGACTGGAAAAGCAGAATCAATGTCAGAAGAATGTGGCAAACATGCAAATTACTATTAGCATAGAAATCAAAAAATCAAAAGTTGTCACTGTCATCCTTTCAATAGCTACTAATATATACCATTTAGGTACTAAGGTGTACCTTTGAGTTACTAATATGCACCATTTAGGTGTGAATAGGGTAAAAAGGAGTACATTGTGAAAGGTTCCCACCCATTTAAGCTACCTTGTTTTTGCTTTTTGTTCTTTCCATTTGGCTTTGCTCCACTGGAAGTCAGCAGAAATGCTAGGATATACAGAACATAATGCAAAAGCAAATTATGAGACAACATTATCCAAGTTATTACATTCTCTGAAATCAAATAAGACCAACGTAAGACTATTCCTGGCATAATTTCAGAACTCGGAGTAGCAGTAAAACTGTAATCCGAAATAAAGCAGAAGGGCTTTATCTCCCTAATACTCGTTCCTTCCACCTCTCTGATGTTGAACGGGCTGTAAATTCAGCGAGTGTTTTGTCTTGTGGACGTAACATAAACATGTGAAACCGCTTATAGCAGCGTAGAACTGAAAAAAAAAACAAAAAAACATCACAGAGACTCTAAAAGGAATACTTTTCTTTATATTTACTGTTTATAAAAGTATACTTATAAAGCCCGTGTCACTCAGATTTATATTTAACAGTGAAATCAGTGACAATAACAATAGGAAACCACAGAATTGATGCTGAAAATTCAGCTTTGATCACATATTTCTGTCATTTGATCACCATCTCAATCATAGATAGAAATGACCATTTGCAGCCAATACAGGCAATTTACTATAGGAAAAATACAGAGTTAAAGTTTTTTAACAGATATAGCCCCACCTATGGTCTAATCATATGTCGCATGCTCTCATCTATTTTCGTGAAGTTTTGAGTTTTCATTCAGGAATGATAGGCTTTTGGGTAGACTTGGCCAAACCTGTTTTTTAAATGACCCTGCTATAGCTATCCAGAGGCCAAAGTTTTTTTTTTTTTTGATACCTATTGACCTAGAGAGTCCTGAGAATTGTGCCACGTCCTTTTCAATGCGACCACAACATGAGCTCTTACTTAGGTGTGCTGAGTTTGGTGAAAATATCTCATTCCGTTCACGAGTTATAGACATTTTAGTAAAAGTGGCTCCTCCCACTTCTACTTTTGGCGGCCCTTAAGGGGTAGTTTTATTGAGAACTATTGACAATCAGACTCCAGGGAATCTTGCTGCACTGGTTTGGTTCCGATCGATCGGGCCAAAACCCTAGATCTCGCAAAAGTAGTTTTAAAAAAAAACAAACATCCAAAATACCCGAAAATTTCGCCTAACGGTTTAGGAGTTATGAGGCATTTTGTACTTTTGACCGTTGTAGCGCCCCCGTCAGGCCGATCGGGGCGAGCATTGGTGACGTTGTAGGCAGTGTGAGTACTACTAGCCCTCAAAGTTTCAAGTCTCTATGACTTACGGTTTGGTCTGCCCGCTCACTTTTAGGGGAGAATGCTGATCCTTGGAAAATTGAACAATTACAAAAGGGTTACAGGGCTACACGCTTGAACCCCTAATAAAAAGTCATGTCATTACACCTTTAAGTAAATATACCTGTTTTCAGAAGTACAATTTTATATACTGTATATAAAAAAAGAAAATCGTAAAAAAACACCTACCGATAAAGACAGCAGTGAGAGTCGATTTACTCATCTTGAGCTCCACAGTGTAAATCTGCTCAAATGTTTTCTTCAGCCTCCGTATGTCTTCCTGTAATCCACCAGAGGAAAGGCTTCGGAAACTTTAAAGGCAAATACAAAAATGAAATGTGTTAATGAATGCAAATGTCACTTTGAAGCAAAGCGTGGTGTCAAACAGCAACACGATGACGAAGATGAAGGTAAAATAATACTTATTTAAAGTCCCCCTGTGGTGGAACCCAGTGAATGGAGGCGGGGCTCATTTGCATATTCATAGAATCACGTATACTAAATGAGGCAGGGGTGTCAAGTTACATTCAAGATATTTTAAGGCATGAAGAAATTTTAAAAAAGTTTAAATATGTCATTTTGGTGATCAAAGATTAGTTTTAAGGGATACAAGCATTGACTACAGGGGGACTTTAATAGAAAAAAGCATCACCAAACTCAACATAAGCATTAAATACACAGGCAAACTAGGAATATTAACAACACACAGCAGAATAACGAAATCATATACCGTGACAACTAAAGACCGGCGGGGACTAGAACAAAGGAGACTGAATAGAAACAGTAGAATTACACCCTCCACAGATTTTACAGTAATCATTGGTGTCAAAAAATATGATCTACTATTTTTAAGATTTTAAAGCCTTGTATTGGTAATGAAGCTAGCAGAATGTTAAGATGGCTTTCTCTAAACCAGTAAACTAGTTTGGTTACAGGAAATGTGAATGATAACTCATCAGACCATGTTATATTTTAAGTATATATCCAGACTGCATTCATGGTGTATTTTTGTGCACTAGTCTTGGACACAACTGTTTTTTTAATGGCAGCCCTTTCAAAAACCCTGGCTTTATGAAGCCTGTGGATATTCTGCGGCTCAACACACACGCTGCCAACCTCATCAGGGTAACAAAGACTGCAGAAAGGAAAGCCAGGTCAGTAATTTCTCATCTCAATGATGGCATTATCTCTCAACTCAACCCCACGGCCTGAGACACAGGCCTGATTTACTAAAAGTTGGCATGTATAAACATTTTTTTATAAAAAGAAAACATACTGTAATTAACAATACAGGTAGATTGAGATTGGGTCATGGGTTGTAAAGTCTTGTGGTTTCTGGGGGTTTCCTTGAATGAGACTGTAATTTCAGGAGCCCCTCCAAACATGCACCAAATTAAGGGATGCCAGATGGGTTAATTATATACTGAACCCAGAGGTCGCGTTAACAGGAAAATTTAATTAAAACAGAAAAAACAAAACAGTATTTATTGTTTAAATTTTGTGATAAAACAACCAGAATTTGAAATCTGAGACTTTGTTTCATATCAAAAGTAACAAAGCTTATTGCCATATATTAGACAAACATTCATGATGAAACCTGAAAAGTGACGAAAAGTCAACTTTCTCTTCATAAATAAATAAATGCATAATCTTGCCTATATGCTTGTCCTGTAAGTTTGTGAATAAAAATGAAAAACAGAGCCTATTAAATGGCTTATTATCATTTAAATGTGAAAATTAAAATGATGGGTAATAATAGATTATGACTGAATTTTTACGACCGAAAATGACGAACAATGCGAAAGCCTTAGGCGACCTCTGGCTGACCCTGCTGATCTGGGGTGAGTTTTCTGTACGTCGTAAATCACTGCTCACTACCATAGTATGATCATCATTGAAGAAATCAACTCGTTAGTCTCGCAAACCTGTAGTTCAACCACGTTGGTTAATGATGTCACAGGTGGTGCATGAATCCGTTTGAGGTTGAATTACTGCCAGATCTTTAGCTATAAATTACAGACATGGCATCTGAGGACTATTTCTCATTTTCTCAGTTATTCTATTCTCAAAAACTGTGTTTTAAATCTCTTGATAAACTAAAAGATGTACATGACATTTGTGTGTATTTGAAATGAAAGATATAGATTGTACTGAATGTCTTGATTATTTTGCTCAAGATAAGGATTTATTAAGTCAAACAAGAAACTCTGCTTCAAACCACAGCTCGAGATCTGTCGTCCCAAACACACAACTCTGCGATGCTGTTTGCGAAGGTTCGTTTGATGTTTTCGGGAAACACGACTGATTGAACTTTGCTGATAACGATGAAACTTGCGGAACATAGTTGGCGAATAATGTTTTAGGGAAACACACCTTAGTAAAGGTGTCCTCGCAAGGGATCCCTGGTTATATATGGACAATACTTTAAAAGGCTAAGCATTTGGCTTTACACATAGGCTAGTATTTGTGTCAAAAAAGTATACTTTTAACCATATGACCTGCACACGCCACAGTAACTGGTTTGGGGGGCATTGGCGCAGACCCTGACCACTATTACTGTTCACATATGGGTTTCTTTCTTAAAATCTGCATGAAAGGTAAGTTGCGCTCGTCTTTTCTTCTCTATTGTGTCGTATATCCGAGTTAAACGCTTCTGTAACAAGAACAAATGTGGGCGGGGCTTGATTGTGTCTGTGGGGAATTGATTGGATGGTTGTGGTTTGCTATTGGTGGATCTCATGTGAGTGACAGGTTATAGCCCCGCCCACATCACCAGAGAAGAGAAGAGATGCTGCAAGAGGAAGTTATTCTGATTCAAGATTATTAACACAATAATGATGTGCACCGATAAATCATTTATAATAAACACTGCAATATTCCATTAAAAAATAAAAAATGGTCCATTCTGATTTCATGGTGACTCAACTGGTGAGCGGAGCTAATGTAAATAGCCTTTGTCAACAACATGTGCTATTTGCACTTAGGCTCCGTTCACACTGCAAGCTTAGTGCTCAATTCAGATTTATTGCTCAGATCCGATTTTTTTGTATATCTGTTCACATTGTTGTTTTAAATGCGTCTAATATCAGATTCCAGTGGGAACATATCCTGGTCCTGAACTGACCCACATGCACAAAATAAAATCGAAATTGAAGAGTTCATTTTCAGTGTGGTTTGTGCCGTTCACACTGTCACGAGAAAAAACTGATCTGAGTCACATGTGAGCAAAAAAATCGGATTTGGGCCACATTTACCTGCAGTCTTAGGCTGCATTTACACTGCAGGTCTTGATGTCCAAATCCGATTTTCTGACTATACCCTGACTATACCCGACCCGCTTACATCATCTTTTAAAAGTGACCCGTATCCGATGTTTGCATTTACACTATACACTGCTGAAACTACCAAATGTAGACGTTCTGACCCGGAAAAAAGGAAGTAAAACAGCACGAAATACAATGGATGCAGATGCGAATAAAATTATCCAGCGTTTTGCTTTCCACAATATTTTTAAAAGTCATTAAGCTTTTTATCTTACGGTGGCACTGGGGGGTTTATCCCAGCATCAGTGTTCCCACTGGGGGGTTTATCCCAGCATCAGTGTTCCCAATGGGGGTTTATCCCAGCATCAGTGTTCCCACTGCGGGGTTTATCCCAGCATCAGTGTTCCCACTGGGGGGGTTATCCCAGCATTAGTGTTCCCAATGGGGGGTTATCCCAGCATCAGTGTTCCCACTGGGGGGTTTATCCCAGCATCAGTGTTCCCACTGGGGGGTTTATCCCAGCATCAGTGTTCCCACAGGGGGGTTTATCCCAGCATCAGTGTTCCCACTGGGGGGTTTATCCCAGCATCAGTGTTCCCAATGGGGGGCTATCCCAGCATTAGTGTTCCCACAGGGGGGTTTATCCCAGCATCAGTGTTCCCACTGGGGGGTTTATCCCAGCATCAGTGTTCCCACTGGGGGGTTTATCCCAGCATCAGTGTTCCCACTGGGGGGTTTATCCCAGCATCAGTGTTCCCAATGGGGGGCTATCCCAGCATTAGTGTTCCCACAGGGGGGTTTATCCCAGCATCAGTGTTCCCACTGGGGGGGTTATCCCAGCATTAGTGTTCCCAATGGGGATGGGGGGGGGGGGGGTTATACCAGCATTAGTGTTCCAGCATTATACCAGCATTAGTGTTCGAATAAAATTATCCAGCGTTTTGCTTTCCACAATATTTTTAAAAGTCATTAAGCTTTTTATCTTACGGTGGCACTGGGGGGTTTATCCCAGCATCAGTGTTCCCACTGGGGGGTTTCTCCCAGCATCAGTGTTCCCACTGGGGGGTTTATCCCAGCATCAGTGTTCCCACTGGGGGGTTTATCCCAGCATCAGTGTTCCCACTGGGGGGGTTATCCCAGCATTAGTGTTCCCAATGGGGGGTTATCCCAGCATTAGTGTTCCCAATGGGGATGGGGGGGGGGGGGGGTTATACCAGCATCAGTGTTCCCACAGGGGGGTTTATCCCAGCATCAGTGTTCCCACTGGGGGGTTTATCCCAGCATCAGTGTTCCCACTGGGGGGTTTATCCCAGCATCAGTGTTCCCAATGGGGGGCTATCCCAGCATTAGTGTTCCCACAGGGGGGTTTATCCCAGCATCAGTGTTCCCACTGGGGGGGTTATCCCAGCATTAGTGTTCCCAATGGGGATGGGGGGGGGGGGGGGGGGGGGGGGGTGTTATCCCAGCATCAGTGTTCCCACAGGGGGGTTTATCCCAGCATCAGTGTTCCCACAGGGGGGTTTATCCCAGCATCAGTGTTCCCACTGGGGGGGTTATCCCAGCATTAGTGTTCCCAATGGGGATGGGGGGGGGGGGGGGGGGGGGGGGGTGGTATACCAGCATCAGTGTTCCCACAGGGGGGTTTATCCCAGCATCAGTGTTCCCACTGCGGGGTTTATCCCAGCATTAGTGTTCCCAATGGGGGGTTATCCCAGCATTAGTGTTCCCAATGGGGATGGGGGGGGGTTATACCAGCATCAGTGTTCTTACAGGGGGGTTTATCCCAGCATCAGTGTTCCCACTGGGGTTCTTGAATTGAAAGTGGCGTGTATGTTTACGCTAAGTCATGATGTCATGTTGCCCAGCATCAGTGTTCCCACTGGGGGGTTTCTCACAGCATCAGTGTTCCCACTGGGGGTTTATCCCAGCATCAGTGTTCCCACTGGGGGGTTTCTCCCAGCATCAGTGTTCCCAATGGGGGGTTTATCTCAGGATCTCAGCTGGAGCTGCTTCTTCGAGCCCCTCCACTGCGGACATCAAGCCAAACACGCTTAACCTTATTAGCTTAAAGATTATATGGGCAAAGGAACTCATGAATTCTTAGTAAATCACCTTCAATACACTCATGAAGTGTACCTGCCATTTGAAAGACTATACAACCAAATCAGTTCCCTTTATTTTTGTTCTCAAGTGAAACAACCTTGAGCCCTATTCAGACGGTAATTGTTTCTCATGGGGCCGTAAGGTGTTTTCACCATTTACAGGGTTAGTCTGTGATTTTATTGCCGTCTGAATCCAGAATGTCTGTGTTTTTCTCCCACCGCCTGCGTAAAAAATCCCTGGCCGAAGTACCTACTGTTTTTTGACAAACAGCAAGATCATGTGTTGATTTAATCGCCGTCCGAATCAACATCTCTGAGTTTACATGAAGAGATCACCTCAAAATTCGCTGTTTAAATCCTTTTTGATCTCTGCAGAGCACCGTACGTACGATAACTGTTGCGCTTTACTGTAATCTACATGCATTTTAAAGATGTACACTTTTATTACTGAAATACTGGAAAGATTTTACAAGAACAATATTTCATCAATGCTACACCTCAGCGAACGAAAAGGAGAAAGAGAAAAATCACGTAAACATTTGAAATGGGGCGTTTTTGTGACAGCAATATATATCATACCGTTTTAAAATAGGTAGACTATTATGCACAACATTAAAAATACAAACCAAGCTATAGGAGTATTTGTGGATCAGACGGCTGAGAAGAAGACTCCCAAATCCACCGTTCTTCATCATTTAACTCCTGGATGTCAGAGCCATGGACATGAATAATGACATATACAGTTACACTGGTGCCGCACGCAGTAGATTACTGTACACTGCACACCCCATCTTCACCGTAATGAGTGTTAAATACTGTAGTATTTAAAGACCAGTATCTGCTTACCCAGTTAAAAACCCTGCTTAACCAAATTGCACCACTTTGTGACATGCAAAGGCCTTTCTGGCCCAAAACTGACCAAGTCTGTCTCCATTAACCACCTCAATGCATCTACAGTTGTGATTTAGGTACTCGTTGAACTCAAGTTGAACTCGTGTGAACTCATGTTGTGTTTCAGGCGCTTCACCACATATAGCTTTATTTTCTCAGGATCTGTAATCATTGAGTGCAATCATAACACACAGATTAGGGAGGAATTCTGAGATCAATGAGCTTCAGCTCTTCTTAAAGCCCAGAGTGAGCAGACAGACCAAACCAATGACCACACATGAAAGAAAACCTGTGACACGTTCAAACATCATAAAAGGAAACTATACACCTTATCCATCCATCCATCCATTCTCAGAAGCGCTTGTCCTCTGTAGAGACACTGTGGATTTGAACCTGCACCTCAGAGTTCACTAAACATCCAATATTGTGAGAATAAAAGAGCTGATCTTCATGACAGCTGGTTTAGATGAATTACACCACATTAGGAAAAAATAAGGAAACAATAGCAAAATGGTGAAAAGTTTTTTTGAGTCACAAGACTAATGTTCAGATCAGTGGCAGCTGGTACCTTGAGCTGACAAATCTCCTGAACAATCAACGTCTAAGAAACAGACTAATATCCCATAATCCCCATCTAACTGAAAGCATTACTGAGCAACAGCAGAACAGCTCAAAGAATAAACATACATTGAACCCACTTTATATTCAGTGTCTTTAACATTTAAATTGATCATTTGATACAGTTAGCCAACTATGGTCACAAGTTCCGTCATTGCCAACATAGTTCAACAATTCTATGTTTCCCGAAAAAAATGTTCCAAGAGATATGTGCTTCAAATCATCATCATCGTCATCATCATCATCATCATCATCATCATCATCAAAGCTTTATTCAGGACACACGTGGTCCAAAACACAAACAATAAAACATTCCAATACAAATACAAAAAGAAACCACAGAATCCACAATAAATATTTTCATATTTATGATAAATAAGGCCAACGGTTCCACTTACTGGAGGAAAACCAGACTGAACTTAGTGTCGGGTTCGTCACTGTTAAAATTATACCATTTACAGAGTCAGATAACCCACACATAGATCTGTACATGCTCTTGCGATTTAAGGAGACTACCAGACAGAGAGACTTCAGGAAATGACAGTGTCCTGTCCTCCTTACTCCTAACAATCATAATATTACTCTTCTTTTCATTGCATTTAATGTCAAAGTCTGAGCAATATTGAGAGCAAACCCTCAGCAACTGTTGAAGGCGCGCACTATATGGACAGAAGATCACCAAATCGTCCGCGTACATCAAGTGGATGATCGTGTACAACAGAGGCGTGAACATGTTAATATGGGTTCGCAAAAGTCGTCACTCGTTGGGTAGTTTCTCCAACGATGCGATGTACTATAGTATGAGTTACATGCTTGTACAGTAAACGCATGCTTGACAAAACTCAGCTTTACAATGTAGGGTTGCTATGCAGTTCTGAGTGTTCTAGTGTGTCATGAGGTTTGTCTGCACATCTCGAAGTTTAAGTTGTTTAGCTCTTTACTCTTGCGTATGGGTGTTCAATTCAATTAGGGGGAGGGTCATTCTCATTACAGACAGCATTTGATTGGACAAACGTTTCTATAGGCCTAAGCGCATGTTGAGTCATAGTCCTCTTTCTTCCCAGATGAGGAAGTCTTCATTTTAAATGTGTATTCAAGCAAAAAAAAAAAAATCTCAACTTTTTTGGAGTTTACTAGCATACTTAAACATTGATGGAAATAAATGTTGTGATGTTATTTCCATCAAGAGGTGCATCATTTCTTGGTCCAGATCTTGTATTGTCAACACAAGAGTCCTGCACTCTGTAAAGTCTCCTCCAGCACACCCGAACACTTTCACTGATATCAAGATCTGGACTCGTGGACATTATTCTTCATGCTCCTCACAACCGTTCTCTCACAGTCTGAGTGTTATGAATCTTCACATTATCATGCTGGAATATGGCCATGATGTTCTTCCTACATGGTTGTTTAAGAGATGAAAAGCTACACACTCCATTAGAGTTAGAAGAACTGTTGCTAAACATATAAGAAACATAATAATCACTGCAATACTGATCCAATCACAGACTCTTAGGCATTTGCCTATTTAAATCCAAACAGTGAGCTTTTTGGCTGGGCAGTGTGTGTATATACATATATATATATATATATAGTAATAATAAAAGTTGACACATATGATCAGACTGTTGGGACAGCTGAACAAAGAGCAGCGGGAGAAACACAGCAGTCCTCGAACTGCAGACATGTCTCTACAGAGCTTCCCTTCACATCTTCACATCTTCACACACACACACACACACACACACACACTCATTCACTCACTCAATACAAGCCTGATCAAGCTCACAGCGATTCCTCACATACTGCTGTAAACACACACACACACACACACGGATGAGGGAGAATAGAGATTGTTCTTCTCTTCTGCAGGATGGCTTTAGGCTGCAGGTTCAGCACGTCACACATCTACCTGAGAGTGAACTTATCCTTATCCGAGCCCAAATAAACACTAAAACCCTGTGCATTCCCAACAGAGCACACACACCGACTCTATGTGACGCGACAGTGTCTCGATATTTACTTGAAAAGTAGATGAATCAGATGAAAACATGTGGAGAAAAGACTGAACCACACACCTGCAGGTAATTCAAACAAACATAAAAGTTTGTGCCGTTTTTCTCTCAGAGAAACCGAATCCACATGAAAGTGTGTGAAAAGAGCGTCGATCTTACCTTTACAGCTGCTCGGCTCACGCGCACAGATTCTCCGGTCGCGCGCGCTGCTGTCAGTGTGTGTGTGTGTGTGTGTGTGTGTGATGTTGGAGGGGGGAAAGTCACTGCCTCCTTCAGTCCCACCCTAAACACACGCACAGCTGTGAACAGTCATCAAGGTCACGATCAAAACTCTCCGTAATACAGTATGTGTGACTCATTCCTGCTGTACATCAGCATGTTTACTCTCCAGCCTATCAGCCATTCAGAAATTCAGAAAAATGTATTTTTGGGGAAATTAAACCAAATTAAGATTTAGAGTTAAATCTATTTATTATAAATAGCTGATTATGATTTATTGAATCAATTTCAGTTTTATGACAGTCAATTAAGAGTAGTGACACAAACTAACAAAACAAAATATGTTCCAAAAACGTTTTTCTAACATTTCCATTTCCAATGTTTTTGTGTTAACGTTTTGAAAACATTATTAAAGACCAGATAATTTTGAACAAACATTCTATTAACATTGTCAGCCATTTAAAAAAGCCAACCCGTTCCCCTCTCAAGGAGTCCAATAATGATATAACATCATGATCAGCACTTTATCATCGCTGCAATGATGCGCTAAAGTCTTATGCAGGAGTGAGAACAGATGTAGTTTCCTCACCAGTCTAATCAAATCCCAACAAAGTGATGATAGATGCTATTTACACTAAATTTAAATTGCAATAGATTTTATTTACGCTATGTAAAAATAGGATTTTCTTTTCAATAAGTGTAAATAGTAGTTAGATGCTATTTACACCTCAGTGTTGTTGTACATTAAATGGTTTGCAATAATAACAGAGTATAAATGATTATGTTTATTAAAATAATGAAATGGATGCTGCCTTATTGGATCAATAAAGCCCTCCCTACACCTACCCCTAACCAATAAAACACTTTATTATTAAACACACATTAGATACTTTATTTCCACTGCTCGAATTTTTTATTTTAATTTTAATTGAAAATAAATGCCTTTCCAGTCTGATATTTGATGGGAAAAGGGAGTAGAGCAAGTTCGGCAAAAGGCAGATTCAAATCTCGGGACGATTTGAGTCAACACACACACACCTGAAGGGGGTTTATTCTGAGATAACACACACACACACACCTGAAGGGGTTTATTCTGAGATAACACACACACACACACACCTGAAGGGGGTTTATTCTGAGATAACACACACACACACACCTGAAGGGGTTTATTCTGAGATAACACACACACACACACACCTGAAGGGGGTTTATTCTGAGATAACACACACACACACACCTGAAGGGGTTTATTCTGAGATAACACACACACACACACACCTGAAAGGGGTTTATTCTGAGATAACACACACACACACACACACACACACACACACCTGAAGGGGTTTATTCTGAGATAACACACACACACCTGAAGGGGTTTATTCTGAGATAACACACACACACACCTGAAGGGGTTTATTCTGAGATAACACACACACACACACACACACACACACACACACACACCTGAAGGGGTTTATTCTGAGATAACACACACACACACACACACACACACACACACACACACACACACCTGAAGGGGTTTATTCTGAGATAACACACACACACACCTGAAGGGGTTTATTCTGAGATAACACACACACACCTGAAGGGGTTTATTCTGAGATAACACACACACACACACACACACACACCTGAAGGGGTTTATTTTGAGATAACACACACACACACACACACACACACACACACACACACACACACACACACACACACACACACACACACCTGAAGGGGTTTATTCTGAGATAACACACACACACACACACACACACACCTGAAGGGGTTTATTCTGAGATAACACACACACACACACACACACACACACCTGAAGGGGTTTATTCTGAGATAACACACACACACACACACACACACACACACACACCTGAAGGGGTTTATTCTGAGATAACACACACACACACACACACACACACACACACACACACACACACACACCTGAAGGGGTTTATTCTGAGATAACACACACACACACACACACACCTGAAGGGGTTTATTCTGAGATAACAACCGGCTGGATGTACATGATCCTGCTTATTACACGGATACTTGACACATCAGTAAATAATTAGACACAAAATATTGGTCTTAGTTGAATTTTTATTTTATTAGCTCTTTAAACGCAAAGCTTCGCGGAGAGAGCGGCAAGTTCAAACTAGATGGACATTTAAGAGATAGTCATAACACTTATTACACAGCATTTCACCACATAAATAATTATGGAGATAAGAGATATTGACTTCAAATTAAACTATTTTTAAATCGTACTTGTTTGTATTTTGTATAATCCAACAGTGAACAAAACAATAGTGACAAAATGGCCGCCGTTCTTGATGTTAGATAATATTATAACTTTTCATTGTTAGTTCATGTCAGCTCAGGTCCATTAAAAATATTAAGAGATGAAAATTTTGATTTCAATAATGTATAAATAAATGTTGAAATGTTTTTTTATTGTTAGATCATGTTCACTATGTATTTAACAAATGGAATCTTACTGTAAACCTTGATTTATTATGCCTCACTAGTGCATATCCAGTGCATGTCCTCAGGAAACCCCATTAAACAGGAGTTGCTGCTTCACTGATGTAATGACTATTATTGCATTGCTGTCATACAAAATTAAAACTTCAAGCATTTGCCAATGTTCAGGAAATTGCACAGGGGAAATAATAGAGGACATGATCACCGGTGTTTTGGGTCGTTGTGACAGAGCTTTGCGGCGCTTTCACACAAAGCCAACTGCAGCTGTCTTTCCATCCACCTATGTTTATGCTAATTTTGGGATATTGTATAAAAGCGCTAGATGGAAGCACCAAGATGAGCATAAATTCTAAAAATGTGAATAAAACGTATGTGCTCAATTGAGGCGAATAGTTTGTAAATGCATGGAACACATTTACTAAGTAAGTTCCTTTATGCGCAACAAAAAACTCATGTGACTTTCCCTCAGCGTCAGCTGTGATTGGATAACTGGAGTAACCAGTGGACCAATGGCGTCGCAGCGTCTCTAATGCATAGACAGTATAAGAAGTGGACAGAGCATCTCATTGGAACTCAGTTGAAGCCCATTTTTAGCGATTTTTGAGCACTTCCGTTCCTGACGCGCAGACTCAAACCGACTCAAACTAAGCTTGATGACGTGAGCAACCTGTCTGACAGACGTAAATCTTGCAGAGACGGGGAACTTGAGCAAAGAGTTCTTTGGCGTGAGTGAGCAGGAGTAAGTATCCCGTTGCTTTTATGGACTCATTATCTATGGGCTTCTCCCTTGACGGGACGTCCCCCCGATCGCCTGCGAGTGTTCTCCTCCTGTCTGTACGGTCATTTCTGTACAGCGCGACAGAGAGTCGAGTGGTTATGACGCAATCGTTAGCCTATTTTTACTAAATCTGTTTCTACGGGGCCATAATGTAACATAGAAGGTAATGGAGCCCTTTATACATTGTCGTGTTTCTTTAGAAATAAATAATGGACAAATGGAGTCTTTAAACGCCTCAGATGTAAAGTTATTCGCTGTCAAAGTGACGCCAAAATGAATGGGAGTCAATGGAAATGCTAACGCAAGTGAAGTTCTGCTACAAGATGGAGGCACCCGGCCGGCTTCAACTTCCGGTCGATGGATTACCCCCTTGGTCTAATGTTGGTTTGGTGTTTCTGAAACGCCGGAGTGGAAGTGTGTGATCAGAATGATGTGTAATTCCCTCCAGAAGCGTTCCCTCGACACACACTCGTTTATGATGACGCTCGACACACACTCGTTTATGGTGACACTCGACACACACTCGTTTATGGTGACACTCGACACACACTCGTTTATGGTGACACTCGACACACACTCGTTTATGGTGACACTCGACACACACTCGTTTATGGTGACACTCGACACACACTCGTTTATGGTGACACTCGACACACACTCGTTTATGGTGACACTCGACACACACTCGTTTATGGTGACACTCGACACACACTCGTTTATGGTGACACTCGACACACACTCGTTTATGATGACGCTCGACACACACTCGTTTATGGTGACGCTCGACACACACTCGTTAATGATGACGCTCGACACACACTCGTTTATGATGACGCTCGACACACACTCGTTTATGATGACGCTCGACACACACTCGTTTATGGTGACACTCGACACACACTCGTTTATGGTGACACTCGACACACACTCGTTTATGGTGACACTCGACACACACTCGTTTATGGTGACACTCGACACACACATTAGTTTATGGTGACACTCGACACACATTCGTTTATGATGACGCTCGACACACACTCGTTTATGGTGACACTCGACACACACTCGTTAATGATGACGCTCGACACACACTCGTTTATGATGACGCTCGACACACACTCGTTTATGATGACGCTCGACACACACCACACACTCGTTTATGATGACGCTCGACACACACTCGTTTATGATGACGCTCGACACACACTCGTTTATGATGACGCTCGACACACACCACACACTCGTTTATGGTGACACTCGACACACACTCGTTTATGGTGACACTCGACACACACTCGTTTATGATGACGCTCGACACACACTCGTTTATGGTGACACTCGACACACACTCGTTAATGATGCCGCTCGACACACACTCGTTTATGGTGACACTCGACACACACTCGTTAATGATGACGCTCGACACACACTCGTTAATGATGACGCTCGACACACACTCGTTTATGATGACGCTCGACACACACTCGTTTATCATGACGCTCGACACACACCACACACTCGTTTATGGTGACACTCGACACACACTCGTTTATGGTGACACTCGACACACACTCGTTTATGATGACACTCGACACACACTCGTTTATGGTGACACTCGACACACACTCGTTTATGATGACACTCGACACACACTCGTTTATGGTGACACTCGACACACACTCGTTTATGATGACGCTCGACACACACTCGTTTATGGTGACACTCGACACACAC